TAAGCCAGCGCGTTGTTGTGTGATAGCCTATTTTGATCCGGTCTATGCTCAACCAGTGACCGATCAGCTGATTTAAAAAGGCAAAAAAATTCCTTCCTGTCTGTCCACGAGATCAGAGATTGATCACACATCTCTCACAGTGGTGAAATAGGGCCAATACTTCTGAAACGGACCGACGGTTGAATGTGTGTTAGTGTGTGTATTTCCTTGAGCTAAACATCAAGCACGTAAGAGATCGTATCGGGATTGTAGTTGCAGGGTGCAGGAACGTCAGTGCCTTCAGGGCGATAGCCAACCATATGTTATCCCATATAATTCCCCCCCCCCCGCGCTCCATTTTGGCATGAAACGTCTATTGGCTGATCCATATCCAAGGGAGGAAGGTCATGGTGATGAATGGTTACGAGTAGTGTGTGTGTGGGGGGGGGAGAGCGGACAATAAATGAACAGCGAGAATGTTATTTCAAATCAGAAGCTGAAATTATCGAGTACTATGCTATTTTAAACGCTGAATGTTTAGGTTGACTGAGCCATCGGTGAAATTGGATTATTGTCAGCTGGGTAAGGGTGTCAACTCTCAAGTTCACGGCTCAAGTCCTAACGAAGACACTAAAAGTGTTCACCGCTAACCGGTTCCCAAAATGATGAAACAGTTGTCCAGTCCTCTTGGTCGCATTTAAATGCAACACTACTTTGTTTATCCGGACACGTCAGTGACGATTCCCATGATTGGTTTCACCCGGATCAAACAAAAATTTCATAATATGTGATCGGTATGAAACTCTCGGTGAATGAGAATTGTTGAATAAGAAAATACAAATATACATTACAGTAATGATATGCAACAACATGTGGAGGGGTGGCATCGATTCGAGTATGGTGATAATGCATGAATTACTTGCGGAAAATGCCCGTGGAGCGGGCCACTGATTCAGAGCAAGCATTATCATCATCATCATCATCATCATAATGAATAACACTACGAGTTATCACTATCGTCACTATCATCGTACAATTGATTTTGTGGTCGAACTGGAACGGATTGACTGTATTTGTGTCAGCACGACTTACAAGGTCAATGAGTGAAATACATATCAATACTGGTAAGGTCGATCGTGAAGCTGACCAGTCACGTGACATCCAATGCGAGTGAGCTGTGGCATGATTTGAGCTCTCATCACATATATGGATGAAAAAAAACATGATAAGGACGGTTGCATCACGATTTCGCGGTTCGGGAAGAATTTGTTATTTGAATTCGAGAGCTAATCAGAGTGGAACATGCTTTAATGCGAAGAAGGCCGTAGGAATTGGTCAAATATTCGGATGGGCAAATGGCTGAATCAGTAGTAAACTTGGTCACATTATCACCGAATGGGAACTTGATAAAAGTTTGTCAAAGGTCGGGACGACGTGAAAATCATTCCAAAGGAAAGCCTAACAAAGTTTTCTTATAGGTCTGAAATTCACATCCAAGATTACGATGAGACCATCAAAACGGAGGTAGATAATTCAGCAAATTTGATCTTGTGTGACTCACCGTGAATTTCTTTATTTTTTTGACATTGAATAAATTATCGCCTTCAAAAACGGATCTATAAGATCAGAGTCATTGTTGTTTTTATTGAAGCATGGCTGTGCGAAAGATGTCACCACCTCCAATAAGAGACATCAAGTAACATATTCGGTCTAGAAATTCATGAGAGACTTGTAAAGAATGTGCTGGTCCCTACGTCCTCACGTTGGGCATTGCATCATTATTCTCCGTGAGACAAACATGGTTGAGTGATTGTACAATAAGTTTGCACAGATTAGACGGGCTATATCGTGTACAAACAAAGTGTAACAGTCTGATCAACTGCTCCGAGTTCGAGTGGCTAAAGGGCTTGCCCTCTGTCCGATGGATTTCAAGGTCAGTCCCCAATCGAGTCAATGGATTTACTCGATCGATTTATCTCAACCAGGTTGAAATAGCCGTACATTGAGTGCCTCCGAACTTTTCAGCTGAAACGACATTTGTCCTGGAATCAAACCACTACTACCTTTGATAATCCAGTTGCTCAACAAGGACAAAAAGGTGATGGTTATATAACTATCAAGTGGATGGATCCTAAACACCATCATCAACACATATTGTCTCGTTCGCATAGTGATCTTCCTCAAATACCAACAACGGTATAAACTGTAATCTGCTGCAATCCGGTTGAATATCGGCCTTAAATAGGAGGGGGGACAGACTTGTGATAGTTTGGTACATTTACCATTTTTCCGACAGAAACCGATTAATTATCGTTGAACTCGGTTCCAGAACAAACTTAGCTCCGTAATTCTAGTGAACTTTCCTGTCAGCTAGTTGGTGCATTGGTGCCGCATTCACAAACAGTAGAATCGGATTTACTGGTTGTATCTATGCCATATGCCTTAAATTGAAAGATCGGATTTTTACTTTTGGTTATGCAATGTGCGTTTAGCAATCGTTCACAATACCGCTCTCAACGACTTTCCTCGCGTTTAGAACAAATGGTACAGAGCGATATAGTAACGAGGGATGAAGGCATTTCGGCAAAGTTTGATCCGAATAACCATCTTTCATAATCCGGAAAGATGTTCCAAAGGTAGATTCTGTTCAATGAAGTGATAAGTAGAAGAAAAGTTATGTGTTTTGAATTTACTCTGTTCAGCAGCAAAGAAAACGGTTTATTGTGTTTTAGTTCACTGTACTGGCGGGGGGACCATGATCCCCGTGACAACAAGAGAGATGATGTGGATAATGACAACATTCCAATGGTTCATACGGTATGCCATTATATTGATAATTCTCAGTCCCGTAACAAATCGGTGACCCGCTATCCTATTTCAGTTGGTAGAATGTGAGAGATATTTTACAGCAACAACAACAACAACAAAATGACCCTCATCGAGATGAGATGAGATTTTATTTTATCAAACCAAGGAAAGTTGCAATCGACTATTTCCGGTACATTTACGTCCGAAGCTCATCGGTCATACCGCCATTAGATTATCTAATTTCCGGATAGTCTGTGACGAGGACCGGTGATCGCGCATACGTCCCTTCTCCCTTTTTCGCTAGTTCTCGTCCCTATTCTCATTTGCATTCTCAGCACACAGCTAGTTCAGTGCGCGTCCTACAAAATCGACCAATAGGATAACGTGCCTGATCCTGACGCGATTTGATGCGTACACAGACACACACACACACAACACAACGAAGGGAATGCTAAAACACACGCACAGATGGACAAACGATCATTTGGTTTGATTTCGTCCCCTCCCTTGTTGGTGCGTGCGTGTGTGTGTGTGTGTGTGAACGTAGTCTCCTACCGTGGCGATGAAATTCGAGAAGAACGGCACAGATACACACACACACAGAGTTGAACCATCTTGAGATTAGGATGGTCAGTGCAGTGTGGTCCAAAACTCTCTTACCCGCCACCTGATGGAACAAAACTAGGCGTCCGCTCATCACATACCATAATGCATGTGTGTGTATATGCGTTGGCACTATGTGATTCGATTCCCCCCGGTTGGGGGTTATTGTTGAATAGGGGCCGAGGAGACGAAAACTGACTGAGTTGCCGACTGGGGAAAGCCGTAGAAAACCAAGACTGCTTGTTGTTGTTTGGAGGTGANTGGACTGCGAAATGGCCACTGTCCGTGCAATCGTAATTTGACTCCCGTGACTGGAAGCCGCACGCGCAGATGAACGCCTACTCGTGTGTGTGTGTGTGTGTGTATGTGTGTGTGTGCGTCTGTTCATCTTCGATTGAGAGCTTTGAGATGAGCATGGCCATCATCAACACGTTACCGTCGCACCGTAACCTCAAATGGGATTCGAACAATTTAACTTGGTTAGGACAACATTCCTGCACCGGGCACAAGTTGTCCAATGTACTTGTTCCCATCCCCTCTGTTGACAGGCTCGCCGAAAACCGAAGAAAGCTTGTGCGTATGTGTGTGTGTGTGCGCGCGCGCGCGAGCTTGTGTGCGTGCATCTAAGTCATTGCTGTTCACATACCTGTAAACGCATGCATCGGATACGATGTTACTAATCCGCAAAGACTAGAAGCGACACGTGGGCACATGTGAAGCTGTATCAAAAACACAACGCAACACAAATATTAGAGTCGTGATAGTATTGCTTGTTCTACCTGGTTCCGGATACCCTGATTTCAGTGAATAAACTGACGATTGCATG